CTGCGCTCAGACGCCGCAAGACGCCTCAAAGTTTTTAACCTAAACATTTACAGGAAAACTGCAAAGATTTGTATCAATTTTAAGAAAAGATGGGCAAATCCTTTAAGAAAATGAAATCTGTAACACCGTATTTCTTGTATCTTTCGTATTCAGGTTTAGCTTCCCTGGAGAGCGTATTCAATTTTCCTTCTTTTGGAAGTACCTTTCGATATAAAATATTTAACAGTATAAAGCCAATGGATCTCGTGAGAATACCCACCAGCTTTTGGAAAAGAAGTGACAAATATAACATCATCTGCTACATCCCAGTCTTGGATAGTAGGCAATCGTGCTTCAAGTCCCGGATAGTGTAGTATACGTGCGCCATTCCATATGATGTGTTTTCGACCTACTTCAGGTGAATGTGCCATTGGCCTATACGGTTCACTTACAGGAATATATAAAAGCCCATCCAAACAACACTTGACATATCAATGCATTGAGATGCTATAAGTAGTATGCTTGGTTGTTCGTTGTCAGGAATTCATCAACCTTTTTTTTCGTCATGCTTTAACCTTTGACGCAGAGCTCTGCGGGTTTGATTTAAATTCATTTCCCATTGTATCTATGTGAAAAAACACTTTCTCAAGTCCCATGAGTATTTTTCCTTCAAGTGTCACTTACAGAGCGAAGAATACACCCTATTTCACAAATAGATGCTCCAAACATCAGACAGACAGGTGTATAATGCTTTATCATTTTTGAGGGCATGATACACCCACAACTGACCCGCACGCAGGATATGTCGGTAATGTGCTATGTTGGTAGTTAATTAATTATTTAGCTAATCAATTAATAAACTAATTATGATTCAATTAATCGATTAACTAATAATTAAGGATAATAATGAGAACTGAGTTGCCTTGACGGGGATCTGCGCTTTTTGCTTGCTTTTCCAGTACATATTGTTTAAATTTAAGAAGTTGCCAAGTATACATTTAATATTACTTCCAGTTCATATAGAGAGTAAATCCATTTAAATGCATTTAATAAACATTCCCAGTTTTAAATTTATTAGGATCTTTATTAACATTTTTGTGAAAGTCTTCAAAATGATACATAATTTTTTTAATATTCTCTATCTCACTGGATAAATGCTTCTCGAAACAGATAACTTGTGACATGTTTTTTTTTTTGTTTTTTTTTTTTTTTTTTTTTTT